CTAACCAGTCCGGGTATTTAACTTCCCGGATGGATCCTATTTTAAGAAATTTGGATACCTCATACCTGATGAATGCATGTTTGATCTCAGACTATGGCCTCCTTTTCTGCTTGATCGGATGGAACTTCGGGTTCAACCAGATGCCTAAGATGGGACCAAGAGAAACTCATTAAGAAAATTAATGAGTTTTTTCTTGAGCTCGGGGGTTAACCCCGTGCCCAGGCATACCTTTCGGTTTGGTAGGTGTTCGATTAATACGACTTGCTCCAACTCTTCAACTGTTGATTTGGTGGCGTTAGCGTCATCAGAAGCTATGAATGATCAAGGGACACCATAATCGTCCTCCTCGTCTGCTTCTCGTTCCTCCAATTCAGTCGAGGCCGGCATCAGTGATTGCAATTTAATTTCTTCTTTCTGGCCGGTTCCGCGTTCCTTGATGTCGAAATCATGGGTATCGGGATTACCTCTTCAACAACGAATATCTCCTTTGCGGCCAGCTGTTCTCCATAGACTGTCTTGACTTCCCCTCGGTGTGAGGAATTTCAACGCCTGGTGCAAGGTCGAGTTTACCGCCCTCATATTATGAACCCACGACCTTCCGAATAGAGCGTTATACCTCATGTCCCCCTCGATCACGTAGAATTTTATTTCTTGGATCGTCATGACAGTGTTTAATGGAAAGGTTATCTCCCCTTTAATGGTCTTACATGCCATGTTAAATCCGTTCAACACCCAGATTGCCGGCACGACTTGGTCTTGTAACCCCAATTGCTCTACGACCCTTGATCTAATGATTTTGGCCAAGCTACCTAGATCAATTAACATACATTTAACTCGAGATTTATTGATAAGTATGGATATTACCAGTGCATTATTGTAAGGCAGTACGATGCCCTCAGCATCCTCATCACTAAACGAAATGGTTCCCTCCGAGACATAATCTTGGGTGTGTTTTTCCCTTGTGATAGATACTTTAGTGCGCTTACCATAGGTCCTTGGGGACATCGACTACTCTGATGATCATGTTGATGATGTGCTAAGGCTCCTCTTGTTCAACCAGTTTGTTGGTGTCCTTATTCTTGAAGTGGTTTTTGGCTTGATCACTAAGAAATTCTCGGAGGTTCCCGTTGTTGAATAATCGGTCAACTTCTTCTCTCAACTACCGGCAATCCTCGGTCATGTGACCATGAGTATCACGATACTTACACATCAAGTTAGTATCTTTTGGGTAGGGTTGGACTGCAATGGTCGGGGCCACTTGGTCTTTTTGATGTTCCTGACGCCTAACACAATGCCGACAGTATCAATATTGAAGTTATACTCTGATAATCTCGGTGCTTCCGTACCCCAGAGTGGCCTGTCGAAACCATTTTTGCTCATCAAACCTCAACTAGTACGCCCTCGATAGCCTCTTTTCTCGTTCCTTGTGGGGTGATGCCCGGACCCATTTCCTCTTCGGTCCGCGTTGTATAGTTGGTATCGATCTCGGACCGGTCTTGAATCATGATCAACGGCTCTCTTAGACCTATCATTGGCCCTGATGGGGTAAATAGACCTAGAAGGAGCTCCAAGTTGGTCGTCATCGATCCTGATCTTTGATTGGTACCTGTTGTGGATATCAGCCTAGGTCACCGCCAGGTACTTTACCAAATTTTATTTTAGCTATTGAGAGGCCAAGGAACTTTGGAGGTTAAGCCCCTAAGTGAATGCCTGAACGAACCAATCATCTGCAATCGGGAGCAAGTCCATCCGTTCTATCTGGAACCTTGACACGAACTCCCTGAGCATCTCGTTGTCTCTTTGTTTAACCTTGAAAAAGTCTGACTTTCTGGTTTCGAACTTGATGGCGTCGCATGGGCATTTACGAAAGCATGTGCAAGCATAGCAAATGAGTCAATGTAATTTGGGGGTAAGTTGTGATACCATATTATTGTCCTTTGGACAATATCTCCCCAAAATTCTTCAGTAGCACCGACTCGATTTTATCGTCTTCTAAGTCGTTCCCCTTGATTGTGCATGTATTGGAGGTCACGTGCTCGTTTGGATCTGTGGTTACGTTATATTTGGGGATATAGAGCATACGAAACCTATTTGGGATCGGCTTCGGTGCTGCGCTTGGAGGAAAAGGATTCTGGATAAATTTTTTAGAATCTGGCCCCTTCAATATCGGGGGTGCTCCCATGATTTGATCGACTCTGGAATTATATGTTTCCACCTTATTGTCGTTAGCCTCAATTTTCTTCTCGCCTGACTCCACTCACTTCGTCAATGCTTCAAGAGTTTTCATTATCTCGGGATTGACCCTGGGCTCGTCTTCACCTGGTCTCTCGGTGATTTATTCCTTTCTTCAGGTGCTTTCCCAGGATTGTTCGGGCTCGACCCTCTTGGGGGCGTGGCTTTGATTTTGTAGCTGTGCTATTGCCGCTTGTGGAGCTTGCAACATTTCGAAGATTAACCGTAGGCTTACCCCATCATTTTCGCCTTCGGGTGCTTCTCGAGCTGTTGGGGTCCCCCGCGAATGCTGTTTTCGGGATTAGTCGGCAAATTGACATCGATGCCCACATGTGAGTTAGCATCGATCGGATCGGCAACTGGGACATCGTTGGAATCAGCAGGAGGCACCTCGTTGCTAGGCACCAAATCATTATTTTCGCCATGATGGTCAGACTTAGCATCAACGTTCAAGTGGGCAGACTGAGAGTTCGACTTTTTTTTATTGACCTGAAATTAAGACTTTAATGAACAAGCGTAAAATAGGATGTGTTATGGAGATTTGTATCAAATTACCACTATTATCCTTAGCCCCACGGTGGGCGCCAAACTGTTTACCCTTAAATAGGATAACAATTAAATTTGTACGCGGTTTTAAGGATATGTGGTTCAATTTAATACAAATAATCAAGAGTACTAGATAAATGAGTTAAAGACAAAATAAACGATTAAACTAGTTGTAATGTTATGGCCTAGCCCGAACTTAGATTGAACAATGACCTCGTCCTCGATTGGACCCTTGGTTCGAGCTCGGTTGTGAATGAAGAACAAAACAGTTAAATAAGAGCTTTAGCAATAGTTAAAAGGCATAGAAATAAACTTGTATTGCTTTGATTCGCTTGTTACAATGTGTGTTACAAAAGAAAAACTTCCCCTTTATATAGTAGGAGAGTTTCATCCTAGTATAAGTCTAAAAAGGTAAAAATCTTCTTTTCTCGTTAATTACTGATTCATAACCGACGTCGAGTGAGATCTGCGCTGTGACATCTGGTTAGGTGTGAATATCACGGCCCTCTATCTGTCGTGTGTAACCGTTTACCGTATTTCCCGAGGCCTTAGAACTCGTTCTGGGTCCGGGGTGCGTCGCTTTATCATACCCGATAATGAGTACACCTTTCGTGGATCTCGATACGAAGGGCTCCCGGCCTTGATTTCATTCTCGTGCGTCCGTTCCTTTCTTCCGTTCTCTTCACGAGGAAATCAATGTATGCATTATCCCCGATTTTACCCGTATACACATATCGTTCAAATCTTTATAGGAGAATGTTGCCTACCAAATTGTCCACCAATTGTATTTAATTATTGCTCTATTTGTCCATATCCGATTCATTGTTGTAGTTATTATCATCCACTTTTTCTAAACAAATACACTGTCATTCATCTTTTTTGTTGTAATTTTGTTTTAATTTAAATTAGATTTTCTTCTCCTCAGATATGAACTCTGCCGATGAAATCTAGGAAGAAAGTGTGTCAAGCATTTTGATACCATCGCTCATGTCAAGCTCTATTGCTCCAGCTCACTCTTAAAAAAGGACCACGAGATTGTTGAAATCCTAAAAAAAATTAAATCTCCTATTTGGTCTCCAATACCCTAAATGACGGCCCTCCCCCACACCCAACAAGTATATTTTAATTGAAGACCTTGGAAAAGCAACGTGTTACTAGAAAAAATTGCGATTGTAATTTCCAAATGCAAAGACGCTAACATGCAATATAATTTCAGTTCAAAATTCCATCCGCTAATTTAAACACTAACATTCCTAAATTGACTGCATTCATCTAAAATCAAAGGCATTCAGTCACGTTCACGGGTAGGCATAAGGGCGTCTCAATAAAATTTAAATTTTAATAAAAGGCCTTAAACATTAATGTATATATATTAGTATATATAGACACACGTACACAAGTTGCAAAAATTATCCCAAGTATTATTTATAGCGTAGTATTCTTTTAATAGTATTCTTACAAGATATAAAGTTTTAATTTCACAGAGTAATATTATTATTTATATTGATAAAGGTTAATTCAAATTGATAAGATGTTAATCATGTGTTTGCAATGTATTACCTTAGATTTTGTTGTAAAAAACTTCATTTACTAATATGAAGATTAGAATAGTTTAATTCAGCGTTGACAATATTTCTAATTTTAATAAGTAGGTTGTCTTCATTTCTTCTTCTTTTTTTAAAATATAAAATAATGTACTTTTAAAATAAAAATTCTACAAACATTAGAACTTGTCTACGGAGAAAAAAAAATTATAAAATGATAAAATTTACAATTAAAATTTTTGGGGCCTCATTATTTTGGGCACCGACCTAAAGCAAGGCCTCTATTAACATTCCCTTTGAGTTGATTCTCCCACTAAAGGAGAGAAAACCAACCTCAATGTCCAACTTTCATCCACAACAAACTCAAGAGTTTTGGTAAAAGAATTGCTTCAAATTTTTTCTAATAACATCTTTTAAATCTATAATAACATCATTTTATCTTAATGGACCAAGAAAAATTATTACGTGTGATGTATTACTATTTGTTATGAATTTTTCTTACAAAACTTTACCACAATAGATCAACGCTTCACTACGTCATATGCATATTCGATTTTGCCACTAAATTACAGAGTACAATGAATTTCAAAATAAGATTTAGAAAGACAAGTAGAAATAACAAAGCAAAATCCCATCCCATTCTAAAATTTATGATTTAAAAGTACGAAACAAAACAAATTGGGAAAAGACACATTTCTATTTTCCTAATACAATGTTATTCTCGAATGACATGAAAAAACAGTCAAAATTCCTTACAACACGCTAGAAATATGGGAACAATAGCCCAGAAATTGGAAGAATTATTTTAAATTTTCTAGTACAATATTATTCTCAAATCTCAAATGATGAAAAGGCAATCAAAATTCCTCACAACATGGGTAGAATTTTGGGAACAATAGCCCAACAATTGGAATTACTCGACCAAGTACTAAATACTAGAAGTCGAATATGTTCTGTCAAGATAACACTAGAAACCAAGAATAAGAACTTATCTTATGCAAAATCTGGTTTCTCAGGGTATGTGCAACCCGACCTTTGGATGATAACATTTGACGCGTAACATCCTGCTCTTACACAATCTTCAACAGGTTTTCCTTGAACCAATTGTGACAAGAAACCCCCAACAAATGCATCCCCTATCAAAGTAAGAATAGACATGTTAAATGACCAGCCTAATGTACATGAAAGACTAAACACAGTTCATGGATTAGAATTAGAACAGAGTTACAGTAATACAATGGACCATGGTAGTTCACTTCCAGGTTTTGGTAAAAGAGTTTTATCCCAACTAGGTGATGCCTAACATTTGGAACAAACTCTATGCGTGGAACGAAATTATATAATAGGAAGAAGGAAGTACGCTTTTGCTGTTTTTGATATCTAGAAAAGGAACCAAGCTGGTGCTGGAATGTGAATAACATTTACATTGCCTATCATAAAAGAATATCTCAAGTATAAGGTTAGAGGGGAACACTAAAAGGAAATTCTACGAGACCACATAAAACTAGTAGATTTTAAAATTTTTGAGCTTTCTACGACATTAGTATTTAGGCCAGCTTGCATTTGCGCGCACTCGACTATACCACCGGGTACCTACTACCTCCCACCAGCATAGGAGGCTTTGGTAGATGGGAACTTCCCATTAACCATGTTCAAGATTGTGCGATATTCTCACCTTATATACAATTTCCCATTAACTATCGAAAATATACACTTCTTCAGAATATGACTTTGGAAGAAGTTTGAACTTCTTGAAAAAGCATTTTTCTTTGAAAGATTTCCGGAGCAAAGTTTGTGCAAAAGAAACATGTTTGGTTAGTTATAGTATTCTTGAAGATCTGTAAGTGTTGTGTGAGTGGGAGAAGAACTTTTCTTTGGAAAACACCCTCAAAACCACTTCTTCGGAAAATAGTCTGAAAATATTTTGCAAAATCTTTTTAATAAAACTTAAATAAAAGCATTTTGGAAAAATTATTTGCAATATTTCAAAAAGACCCCGGACAAAAACGGCTGAAAGTTTCAGACGAATTAATAGAAAAAAGTGTTGAAAAGATTGCAGTGAATCTTTATAATGTCACATTAACTGCTCAAAGGTTAGAATTCTGGATCTTACATGCTTTGGTTCGTATTATGTTCTATGCAAAAGAAAGGCTGATTAACTGAGTCAATTGGGTATGATTTTATCAATATCAGAAGAGGAAACCTATTGAATACCACTTAATTAAGATTGGTGATCATAATTTTAACTTTATCGAAAAAGAAACAGGAACAATCATAGACCACATACCAGCACCATTGGTGTCAACAAGTTTCTCTTTTGGCAACGGTATTACAGGGAACAACTTCACCTTCCCATTCTCAGCAACAACAACAGGATCAGCACCTTGTGTAATAACAGTGATCCTTTTGTGTGTTTCAGATGCCTTTGGCCATTCAGAGATTTTCAGAGCTATTTCTTCAACATTATCAGTCTAGTCATCAAATCAACAAGTTAGCCATGTACCACAAAGTCAACATCAACGTGAGAAACCTTTAAGCTAAGCATCCATTACCTCCCATCCATGTACTTTTGAGAAGGTTCTTGCTTCGGTCTCATTTCCAAATACAAAGTCCATATACCTAAAACAGAAAAGCCAACCCTTAGATCAGTATCTTTCTACCTTCAGTTACCTTGACGAGGTAGGGCATTTGTCTTACGGCAAGGCTTTCTCTTGGGGATCCCTGAAGAACTCGCAGATGAATGGTGCTGAAAGGTTCATCGAGAAGATCTGCAGCACGGGTGGAATATTACATTACGTGATTGTTTCATGCAAAAACTAGCAAAAAGACCAGTCACACATAAATAATGTCAAGTGTGTACCTTGTTATTGGCAGCGGCATGCTCAGCAACAAGCTGAATAGATTCTGGGGAAACAGTGAGAAAGAATCCAGCAATGTAGTAAAACTTGGCCTTCTCAACTGTCCAAAAACAGATGTGTTAATTAAAATAGACTGATTATCTGAGGTCTAAGCTGTATAAAACCAGGAATGTGATTCCTACCCAAGGCCCAGTTCTCTGGTCGCTTCAAATGGTCAACCTTGTAGCAGTTTGCAGCTGATAAGTTGGCTACCAATGACCTGCAGAATCAAAACCAGATCATCAGTTTTAACAAAAAGAGCATGTGGAAATGCAAACAAATATTTTTCCTGTATTATGTAGACAAAAGAATGTCTTTTTTTCTCTTCCTTTCCCTCCTTGGTTAGAAAAGGAAAGACTAAACTCTACACCAGAACCGTATTAAACAAAATGCAAAATTGCTTTAAACTAACCTCTCGCCATCTAGTACACAAACAGCGCAAGTCCCTGTTGGAGCATCATCCTCATAGTAATGAACCTATTTTAATCATAGGTAAAGACAAGTATAAGTTCAAAGCATAGAAGATGTAGGCAAATGATGAGCAATAATTGTATTAATGAATCCAAAATGCAAGAAAAATACAAAAGCATTGTCAAACTAAGAGGAGAAAATTAAGGACTAAGAATCTACATTGACGCCAGCATCCTTTGCATTGTTCTTCATTTTCTCCCCGAACTTGTCCTTTCCAATCGAGCCCATGTAACTTGTTGCACCTGAAAATGGTAGCATCCACTGCAAATGCCAAAGGAAAATTATTGTTCTGCACTACACGGTCATGTAAGATTGCCAAGAACCACTATAACAATGACGACAAGACACCTGAGCCACTCTGATAGAATTTTGTGTTGCACCTGCAATGTAGAATTAAGACAACGTGATCAATGTTCCTAGTATCTTCAATGCAGAATATTATTTAATACAAACAATGAGTCAAGGGAGGGGCTAATTACCTCCAGCAATGTATTCAACATTGCTCTTGGATGCCAGTTCATCATACCTGGAATACAAAAATTCTTTCAGTATTTCAAAGAATCGAACAGCTTCCTTAATAAAGGCACAAAATTGATGTTTTTCTTCAGCAGAACATGTTCTGGAAGCCTTTCTTACTTAGTGTTTGTGCCCCCAAATATATAACTATTCTTTCAAAGCTCAAACCAGCAACAGCAATAGGCTAATCACTAATTTTGTAGGCTCAAATAGCAAGTCGAAAATGTTACACAAAATAACACCTACTCCTATTAAGTATTCATTTAAGATAATGTATTCTCACCAGCCAGACACTTAAGAGCGTGAAAAAGAAAAGCCCAAAAATTTTATTGTAAATACAAAATATTATTTCATCAAACAAGTTCGGCAACAAAAGGATAAGTTTAGCAGCTATAAAGTCTTTGGAAGTTGTAGTATCCGGTAAATTTACTCAGTACATGTATAATTAATCTAATGATTTATTTTAAACATACAAATAACTACGACGAAAAAGAAACCACTTACATAGGCAAGTGCTTCTCCTCAGCAAGAATTGCATTGTTTGGCTTGATGTCATACCTATAAGTTAAAAACCAGGTCATTCAATTGATACAATGAAAGAAAAAAAGAGAACCCAAAGCTGCAAGTAAAACCAACACACGTTAGAGCTAAAATTCACTGCTAGTTTATTATAAATGTACAAGAAATTGCTCAGCTATACACATAACAAAGGGAGGGATGTGGGCATGACAGCACCCGCTCTCTGCATATTAGAGCCACAACTGTAGGCTATGAGGGACGGATTTAGGGTGTTAATTACAGGTCCATCCGGACCCGGTAGCTTTAGCTCAGACCTTGTATGTGTTAAAAAGGTCACTAAATAAGTACAATAAATCAAATGACTTGTGGTAGAATCTTGAATCCGCCATTAGGCCTCTGAATTATTAAACACTAGCATAGTACAATTACATATATAAACACTAATATCCAATTTAAGACACTAGTAAAAAATGATTACATTGAGAATAGAAAAAGATGGACAAATCTACACATAACCTATTATGCATACACACATATATAGCCACTATGTACATAAAGCATCAGAAATTAATGAGATCTATAAAATCAAACTAAAAGGATACAACAAAAATCAGCTCAAAACAGCAAAAGTAGCTAAAATGGGGAATTTGTGCATCTGGGGTTATGTGAAATATAAGAAAGAATTACTTGTTCAAGAAATCTTGATCTACAACAGCTGAGATGTCGAGTAATGGATTGCCCATGCCCAAAAGAATTCCCTCGTACTCCATTGTTTTGATATATTTTTTTGCTGCAGCGGAGGAAAAATTTCAGATCTAAGGTAAGTGCAATATTAGCTATGCGTATGAAACTCTGGTTATATAGGAATATTTCAAAATGGTGTCGGCTGAGGAGTGGGTGGGTGAGTGTGACGAGGGTTGTTAATGAAAGTGTGTGCCTACTAGTGTGTACTCTGTTTTTTTTTTCTCCCTTTGGATCTCAAGAATATGAAAAGTTGGTGAAAACAGTATTGGCTAGTAAATTTTTGTATCGTTAATTAAAAAATAATCAGTATTTACAAAGTTATAAAAAGATAGTATTATTTTATGCGGATATAAAATTTGAACAAAATTATCCTAGCTGACGTGGAAAGTTCCAGCATTTTGGAGCTCCTGCGAATAAACTTCCAACATATTGTGTTGGAACTCCAGCACATTATTAAATTCCAGCACATTATGCTAGAATCTCATGTATAAAAAGCTCGAACTCCAACATATTATGCTAGAATTTTTTCATATTTTTAAGGGTATTTTTGTTCAAATTTTATCTTTACATGAAAAAAGTGGCTAAGTTTCGATTCCTTTTATAACTGTGGCTACTTTTCAATTACCATCTGGCTATTTTTTTTTTTTTTCCGAAAAGTTGTGGTTACTGGTTAGTGGGAGCAAAGGTCCATTTGTAGAAATGATACCAGGTAGCCATTCTAAAGGGATGCTATTTAAAAATTAGTCAGTGTATCCTGAATTTTAATTTTTTCAATTCAAATTTTTGGAACACAAGTATTCTGCATTATCCTGAAATTAAGATTTTTAATTTAAAATTTTAAAATAAAATAAATAATTGGCTAATCTCTAAATAGCATTCCTGAGAATGTTTATTTGTCCACCTGCCCCCTTGCGGGTTCCACTTAACAACCGTACGATTTAGGAAAAATGACATTGTATAGCCGCTATAAAAATAATAGCCCCAAAAAATATATAATTTATATATATATATATATATACACAAAAAAAATTATACAAATTTTATATATTTTTTTGGCTACCAAATATAAATATTTTCTGGTATGAACTAAAAATGATAATACCCTACGATTTACCACCCAGGAATTGGGGCAAAGTGCACAAATAGCCATATTTAAAATAGTTGAAATATATAAAGTATTTAAAATTTAGCCTTCTTATAATTAAATTTTAGTTTCGACTCTGAAGTCTGAACTGTCAAAACATAAATTCAGATCTCAGTTTTGCAGTTTAAACTTCAAATCTTAGGACGGGAGTTAGCTCTACATAGCCTAACTTTAATATTTGGGTCTTATATTTAATTTTGGTAGTGCTTTTCAGACTCGAAAATCAAAAGTTTAGTCTTTGGCACTTCAAAATTTAAAACCCCACAATCGAAGCTAGCATTTGATCATAAATTCTCAAATTTGTTTTAAAAATTTTGATTTGGATGAAGTTTGGTTTGAAAAAGAAAATTTGTTTGGACATAATTTTTCAAAATATATTTCACTTTTTTTTTTTTTTTGAAAAAACATGAAATGTGACTTATACACATTAGCTCTAAAAACTATCAAAAATACCCAAGAAGTACCAAACAAACAAACTTGTTAATCCTGTGTATGCATAACCTTCGTCGATACCATTCATTATCATTATCAAAAATCATAGTCCTGAACATATATAAGAGTGGCACGAAATTATTATTTTTATAATAAACTACATATTACGCTATCCTAAAATCATAAACTGATATTTTAATATCAACTGCTAATAACACAATTACTAGCTATTATAATTCGTCAAACTGCAATAATAATAGAAGATCCATGTGTCCAAAAGAAAATGATAGTAATTAGTTGGTGGATTAGTTAGGTCATAATAGATGATGAGCTTGTTTGACTCAAAAGGTATTGGAGCCTTTTTGAACAAATCAATTAAAGAAAGTAAGGGGTAAATTTTAGGTAAACATAATAAATTCCAGATCAACGAGCTAATTGAACAAATAGTACATAGGATGAAATAGAGGTAACCAATCTTATTGAAACTTTCATTGTGACTCCCATTAACCAATGGAGAGGTTGTTTTACATGTTTTTCTGGAGACTGCTTCATTCTTCTTTTTCTTATGAAGATTGCAGAAGAGAGAAATAAGGAGAGAGGGAGAAGCCTCGAAGCCCCCCCCCCCCCCCCCCATAACCGAAGGTTTTCCTTTCCTATATATAGTCATGGGACCTTTGCTATTTACTTGGTCTGACTCTCTCACACACTATCTGTCTTGGTCGTCCCCTAAACGTTATTTCTTCTGACTCGACGGATGTCGTAAGTGCGGGATGTAGAATGGACCATGTCGTATTTCAATACCTTGTCACTTGGATAGGATGTTGGTCAGCTTGACCGCAGTGGTCAGATTTTGATCAATACAGTTAGTCCCTCCGTCTGTCGGGGTCGTCCCATGTCGGGCCAGACAAACGGATCATGATTGTTACAAATATGAGAGAAATCTGACTACTTATCCCTTAGTTATGCTCCTTAGGTTTTGAGTGAGGTGACGGCGCACTTTCACTATCCTTGGACCGTTACGGCAGTTTCGGAATCGAAACATCGTTTGGATTGAAATGTTGTTTCATGGTTGCCGGCATTATGACACACGTTCCTAGGGAATCAAAATGTTTCGCGCCCTATCAGATTCGATTGGCGACTCTTGGGTTTCGTGCTTGGGGAATTTATGTCTCTTATAAATAGAAGGAACACATCACTCGATTGACACACTTCCTTGCCCTTTGCTAGAAAGAGTTTCACGAATATACTTTCTTCTTGATACTCCAAATTTTTATTCACCCCTAGTTGACCGAAAACTTTCATCCTTCCTTTCCATTATTTTTTTGCTACACCATCTTGACGAAATGGCTGGTGATTCTTCTCACGCTAATCCCCCTGCCACAATTCCGGCGCCGGAAAATGTTGTTCTGGCCACCGGAGGAGTAGAAGTGGTAGAAGATGAGGAGGTCCCGTTGGTAACCGAAATCTTGCCTCGTCCTAGAAGATAATGGACCGACTTCTGCAATTGCGCCAGGGTGGAGCCGGAACCTGTCCCCTCTGTTATAAAAGAGGAAGACATTGTAGAGTTGAAAGCTAGATGGGGAATTCCTAGTTACGTTAACATGCGGCCGGCGGTAGGGAACGACATAGTCCATTTCGACCTCCCTGGGTACTGCATGTTCTATGCCTACCCCTTTCTTATTGGGTACACACTCCCTCTCCCTCTCCTGGTGGTAGATTTCTGTCATTTTTACGAGGTATGCCCCGCCAAACTTTCATCGTACCTATACAAGTTATTCCTTATGTTGCTCAAGTTTGCGGAACTCGCTGGTCGTGAGATCATTTTGGATCACATGCTTAATATCTCGCCCCTCAACTCATTCGCGGCACGATGATTCACATACGTCCTCGTGGGTCGAAGAGTCTGGTGGTGAAAAAGGACGACATGACCAATCGGCGTTTCTGCGAGAATTATTTCTATGTGCGGACCGAACACATTGTGGCGGATCCAACGGGGTTCCCTAAGAAGTGGAACTTTGAGCGTAAGTTTCTTACATTTTAGTCAGTGAGATACCCGACCGCTTTCTGTTACAGTACTAAACCGTGTTATGTCTCTGCAGCTGAGAAATTGCCCCCTCCATCTGTCGAAGATATCCGCGAGTGGGTGAGTGCCATCCTTCCCCATACGGCGGGGGTTCGCACATGGTCGGCCTTTTATGAAAAATTTGGGCGTAGGCCCCTTACAGGTGAGGTGTCGTTTCTTTTTGCTGTTTTTCTTCTCTTTTTACTTAGTTTCTTATGTACGGTTTTGTCGATGACAGGGAGAGGGCAGAGAGCGAGGGCTCCTCCATTAGCTTTTCGTCAGCTGGCATCGTCTGCTCGCCTTGCTGCAGCACCTACCATTCGGCTTTCGTCGAGGGCTGCTTGCGGTTGTGGTTATTCCTGCGGAGGCCACTTCTCAGACCGAGGTCCCGACTCATGTCGCTCGTCTGACAGGCGAATCTCCCCATGCTGAGGAAGAGGAAGGGCCATCCAAGAGGCGGTGAGTGGAGTTCGAGGCAACCCCTCCAATTGTGATACACCTGGACGACTCTCCCTTGACAGGATCTGGGGCAGGTATTGATAGCACTCCGCCCGTAGAGATAGAGCCAGCCGTCATATCTGCCCCGCCGACGGAGATTCCTGCCACTATCATTGATCAACAACCTACCGTGATGGGGGGCCAGATTTCTGAGGCCGCTGTTATGGTTTCGGACGTACCCTCATCCTCCGTACCTGGTCGTGCTTCCTCCTCAGTTGCTGAAAGAGGAAATGGCGTCGTGGTCGACGACTATGAATCCGAGTCAGACCTCGACCCTGATGATGTTAGGATGTTTGAGGAGGGTATTATCCACTCAGTGGTTCAGCGGGAGGCCTAGCCCATATTCTTGAGATCTCTTCGGATGTTAATCTCCTAGGGAACACGGAGGATTTGGTACCGCAATTCAACATTATGTGCTCCGCTGCCGAGAACGAGGCTCTCCGAAATGTTCCTGATAGCGACTTGATGAATGAAGTGGTCGCTATGGGCCTGAGGGTATATTTTTCTTTTCTTTCATATTTATTTTATTTTTCTGGATGATACGATCTTAACTCGTCTTTTCATTTTTCAAACGTACATGTTGGAAATTGAGACTGCTCGTAGGGATGACATTCGGACGAAGATTTTATTGAAGGCATCAGAGAAATATCGGCACTATCGCAATAAGTGCTGGGAGTTGCATGAGCGGCTGAGGGGGAATCCCGGTGCTCGATCCCTCGACAAGGAACTGGAAAAGAGAAACCAGCAGTTGATGGAGGCCGTTCGTAGAAATAGTGTGCTCGAGGAGCAACTTCGCGTGAAGGACGAAGAGCTTGAGTTGGGCAAGGGGGTAGCCGTAGAGTGGGACTATCTGCAGGAGAAACTGAGTTCGATGCAGGTCGAGATGGATCAAAATCTTATCAAGGTCGAGGCGATGTGTGCGGAGTGGATGGGAAAGTTGGCCGAATTGGAGAGAAAGGTTGTCGGGTTGGAGAGTATCGAGAGTTCCTGGTTTGCGGCTTCGGCAAGGGCGGCGGCCCTAGATAACACTATTGGCATCCTCCAGTCT